TGAGGACCTGGGAGAGCCTGCAGCACACAGAACATTTCATATGATTACTTCAAGTGTTTATATTTTTGTTGCTTAAGGCGAGACACCCCAGGTGAATAGGGTAATTTTTTTAACTTAAAGGTATCAGCTAGAAATTTCTCCAGTTAATTACTTACAATAAGGCAATTGTCTTTTGTATTACAAGTTTTCTGAAATAGCATGTTTAAATATGCAAATTAGCCATTATCTCATCAAATATGTGCATATTTTAACACATTTCAGGAATCGAAATCTGAACTTTGGATAAAGCCAGGTTAAAAATTCTTGTTTTATTTTGTAGTCATATTAGTATCTAAGGCTTTTACAAAAGGGATTTTGGATATCTCTTTTTATCACTCCATAAATCAGAAAATACTGTCAACAGCCCTAAAATATCAATTTTTGCCATGTTTTTAGGTATACAATGTTGTATAATTCAGGCTATGAATGATATATGAACAAACCCTTCTGTAAAAGCCTTCATAATATTGATAGGAATATAACTGGAAGGCTTGGTGTGTCTACGTGCTACTGAAGTTGAAATTTTGAACTCAGAGTAGGAGAAAAAACTCATTTTGAGAAAACGACCTTTAAAGATTGCAGCGAGGCGCTAGCTAAACCCTCCTGTTCTTTGGATGACAGCTTGCGCCTCGACGCACTCCGTGAAGGTATTTCATGTTCGGGGTCATTTGTTTTTTGTATAATCTTGCTTCGTGCAAGGGATAATTGTTGTCATCTTCTCTGTAAACTTTTTTTTTTCGCCGTTCTTTTGCCATTTTGAGATTTACATTTCTAGCGGAAAGCTAACCAGGAAGTGTTTTAGCACACCACGTGACGCATCTGAACGAATCACGTTGTCTGAAATTGACACCAGCCAATGAGATTTCTTTCTTGGTTTAAGACCCCTTTGTGCTTTCACGATTGGTTGCTAAAGGGGTCTTAAACCAAGAAAGAAATCTCATTGGCTGGTGTCAATTTCAGACAACGTGATTCGTTCAGATGCGTCACGNTACTTTCGAGGCGAGCCGCAACGCGTCTCAAACAAGCCTGAAGTCTTTCAAAGACGGCGAAGTTGTGAAAGAAGCATTCCTGGAGGCTTTTTGGAGACAGTAAAAACAGTAGCATTTCAAACAGGTTTTTGTGAGTTTTAGTTTATTTGAACTTATTCATTATAATTATTGTACAAAATGGTATAAGAATGCAAACTTAAAACGATAGTCTATCATTTCAGGTTAACTAGTGTTTCTTGCATCCTATTTTAGGCATTTCTTTTTAAACTCTATTGAAATGCAACAAAAAAAAGGTTTGATTCTATTAATTGTCTTTTTTTTATAAATTGCACTTTGGCAGTAGATTCCTGTGTAGCTTCAGACCTGAGTTGTCTTATTAGTAAGCCTAATTTATACTTTTGTAGCAACACTATTTTTATATAATGGCAAAGAAAGGGTTCAGTCTCTTTTCTTTTTTTTCCTGTGTCATGTGGTAGCACTGTTCAATGTTTCTTGAAAACATTACCCACTGTAATATGTGACGTGTGAATAAACTCCAACTCTGTAACAACACTGTTTTGTAACTTCAGTTAAATACGTGTGTGTAGATTAGAAAGAAGTAAGAAAGGATCTGCAGTATTAATCGTACAAAGGTCAGTTTTATACAAGTAGAAGTGTGTATTTACCTGGTAGTAGGCTGTCAGTTATGGCTACGCCTCTATTTGGACTGGTAGATCTCGCTAGACTGGCAACTTTAAAAGTAGCTCTGTTCAAAAAAAAGGTTGGGCACCCCTGCACTACAGGATGTACTTTCAGGGTTTTTGACTCTGCAGACCGTTTACATGCATAAAAACCTTCATAACACACAAGGGGACGGGTAATAACCAGAAAAGCATGACATGGGACCTTTAAGATACCTGAATTGTATTTTGAACAAGGACTCCAGGACAAATGTTATACACAAGACCAGTTTATTAGAAAAACAGAAAAGTGACATGCATGGTAAATGGACTATCCATTTTGAATCAAGTCTTTACAAAGTCACACATTCACTGTTTCAGGATCCATCGACTGCACAGGGCTGGGATCAAACTGACAACCTTCAGATTGAAAGACAACTTCAGTCACGATTGTGTTAGCTTTTAGCATGACACTTCTTTTTCCTTGTGAAGCTGTGGGTAGAAGGAAGCAAAACCATTCAGAAATATATCAATCACAGCATGAAATTATAAATATTTGACTGGTTGTTGTGCAGAATTAAAATAGAAAATCAAATATCAGAAAAGCACCAACATGAATATTGGCAGAGCAGAATCTAGTATTTCAAAGATTATAATTGTACTGTTTCCTGCACAGCTGGATGAGGCCGAGAAGCACTCACCCAGTTATTAGGCAGAAGTCAGAAATACTTTTGCATGGTGTCTGACTGTAGCCAACACAGAACAGCTGGAACAGAATTCGTCCATGCCTCAGTGTGACTTTTATTTATACTTTGTCGTTACATAACATACCATCATCAGGCCTTCACAATCCGGACGTCAGCCATGTTTCATTGGGCTGTGGTGATCAGCTGCGTGCATTACTCCACTCCTCCACAAACACGCCTTCTAAGAAATGCTGGAAGAGGAACAAGGGATATTAGGGACTATGATACATTTTCTGTTGACAAATTAGTGTATTCTCACACATATGTACTATTAGGACATCTTTTGATATGGACATTTGTAATATATTGAGCTGGAGGAATGGGATTATACCATGGATTGTATATGGATTATACCCACGTTTTTTAAATTGTGTATTTAACATCAATATCAGTGAGTTTCTCTGAATATTAACTATATCCCCTAGCTCTGTAAATGACTAAGTTCTACCTACGATTGCTACAGAGAGTAGTGCTCATCATTTAATTTATCAAATAAAATAAAAAAACATTCTAGAAACGGCTTCATAAAACGCAAAAAATAAAATAAAATCTATTTTTTTATTATTTATTAAGTGGACTTGGTTTGTTGCCGACTCCATTAAAAGGTGGGGTAGGTAATTTTGGAGAAACCAGCTCGAGTGCGCTAGAATTTGAAAATACAAAGCCGGACAAAATCTGCCACTTCCTTACAGAGCCCCTCCTCCAACACACACGAACATGACCAATGACCAATGAGGGCACGAGCTAAGTTTGTGCACTGATGGAAGGCTGACAGGCAGGTAGGCCATCCAGTTATTTTAGCCGGGCCGGCTAAAATGATTGGTTGTGCTTTTTACAGTACTACGGCTTCCACAGATGACATTTTTTTTAATGGATTTTTGTCAAAGCACTTAAGATATTCATTGCTATCGGGATGTTAAGAGCATTCCATGGAATATAACAAAAAGTGTATTTCGAGCCGGTTTCTCAAACTTACCTACCCCACCTTTAATAGAATGATATCGGAATTCTAACATTTTAATACCTATATGTTTCTGTATTCACTCTGACATTAGAATAAGCGCCATAGTTAGCATTCTTATCCTGTTGTTAAGTCAGTGTGTGAAAACAATACTTTCGCATGGTGTCTGACTGCATTTACTATTTAAAGAGTAAAACAGAATTCGTCCATGCTTTCAACTCATACATGTATTCATAGGAACAAGTTACCTGTGCAGGTCTCTGCTCTTGGTGACATACGGATCAACAATCCCATCTTCAGACAAGGCATCTGTAGGAAAACACATATCCTCAGTAAGCTCAGAGAAATTGATCCTGTAAAAATTAAATTCAACGTGCTACATGTCTTCCAACTATCTTTTGTGTAAAGCCCTTAAGAAATTCACAAAATACTTGAATTCAAATGACATTTTATACAATATGGTCTTGCTGTGTTATTCATTTGGCTGTCTTCAAATGGTACACTTGACCGGTGTATAAAAAAAACAAAAAACTGTAGGCCTATACATCT